TGTTACCCAGACTGGAGTGCAATGGCATGATCTTGGCTCACCGCAACCTCTGCCTCCTGGGTTCAAGCAATTCTCCTGCCTCAGCCTCCTGAGTAGCTGGGACTACAGGCGCGCACCACCATGCCAAGCTAATTTTTGTATTTTTTAGTAGAGACGGGATTCCACCTTGTTGATCAGGATGGTCTCAATCTCTTGACCTCATGATCCACCCACCTCGGCCTCCCAAAGTGCTGGGATTATAGGCGTGAGCCACCGCGCCTGGCCAACAATTATGTCTTTTTCCTTTCTTTAAGCTATGTATTTATCTCTTGAAACTGCTTGCTATTGGTACAAGTAGCTATTGATTAATGCCAAACTGAACACTACACCCACACACGCTATACAGCTAAACAATGTATATCAATCAATAATCAAGGTTATTCACTGAACCCTATGACCCACAACCTATATAGCTTAACAGTGTGTATCAAGCAGTAAACAAGGTTATTTTTGGTAAATAGGAATTCCTGACAAACAATTTTGTATCAGCCCATTCTCTATTTTTGCCTTTAGAAATCCACTTGTAACTGCTGCTATATTTCAGGCAACTTGAATCTTTGCTCTCAGGTTACAGTTCCCAAGCTCCGCCCAAATGAACTGACTACTTGATCACGTTTTCTTAACTTCTTGCTATTAAGGAGGAAATTAAGGATGTATTATTTAGAATGTGCCAGAACAGTCTCTATGAGGGGATCTCTCCTTTAGTTGTACTTTTCTTGCTGTGACACTCAAGAATGCAGAGCCAGGTTGACCCCACCTAGAATCTGCACATAAGGTCTGGCCTCTGCCTGGGATTTACAAGACAGGAGCAGACATTGGATTGAGAATGTACAGAAAACCAACAGGAGGTATTCTCTGCATTGTGAGATGTCAACATGGACATCTTAAAGCCCCCTTCTTTGAGAGAGTGGCTATGTGAGCTTTTCACATCTTGTTCAGTGACCTGTTACTGTTACGTGAGAGGTGCCAAGTGTAAATAGAATCTGATGGCAGAATCTGTCATGTATCCATGTATCCATGTACTCAAGACCACAAAGTGTCCAGAGCCATGACCACAACTATACCTACCTGTAAAAAATGTGATACTGAAGTATTCTTGTCCTTCTTCTTACCCAAAGGCTGCCTGATGAGGACAGGTGATCCAGGTTCTGGAGCTCCACCCAGGCAGTTCTGTTTTCTATTTAGAATCTGACTGAGTCTCTGCTGCTTGGCTTAGTATTGGACCATCAACCCAGGATCACTGAGAACCCTCTCGCAATCACCTCAGCATCTTTGAGACATTTGAGGATGTCCAGAGTAAAACTGTGACAGGCTGACAAGAGTAGTTAATTCTGCTTCTGTCTCAGTATAAGAGAAATGAGTCATCCCAAAACAAAACACGTGGGCTTCATTTGGGGCACTTTGTATTATTGTGACTTATGAAATCATCATTTGAGTGGATGTTTATGGACAGAAGAATTGTTATTATATCTATTTCTTTTACCTTGTTAAGAATACATGTTTATCTTCTAATAAAACTACCCTGGAAAGCCCTAAGAGAAATTGCTTATTAGTATATGTTATAAAATTGACAGGGCAGTGGCTAAAAAAGATTAAAATTACACAAACTGTGGAATTTAAGTTTCTTTTAGGTAAGCTTAGGTAAAACAGAACCAGAAATACCCCAGTGGCATACAGAGCAGAATTCTACATGTGTTGTCTCCCTGCCCCAAATCTGTTTAGATTCACCCTTTGTGGAGGCCTTATTTAGGTCTGGCTTTACCCTTCAGTTTTGCCTCACAGAACTGATTAAAAGAGATCAGAGTTTTGGGTGATTAATTCTGCTGCTTTTCTAGAGCTGTTGCTCAGAATTTCCTGAAATCTAAAAGCAGATAAATGGGAAAAATAAAGTAATATTTTAGGCCCTTAATTTCTTAATTTTATATTAAAATCAGTGCCTGCAGAGATGTGCCAGTTAGCAACTTACTGTGTATTCTATTCCTGTAGACCCCGTAGTTGCTCACAAGCCACAAACAAGTAAATATAAATACAATAAAAGTTTTCCCAGACTACATTAAACTCTTGCTTTCTTTATTCCTCTCATCTGTCTATATCTAGCTTTTATTGTGTACATTTTTCAAACAAAAAAGTGACAGAAGAAGAAATAAAAACACTGGGCCCTTTATCTACATTCTGAGAATTAGTAAACACTTAATACCAACTCCAGCGTGGTATGAGGATTAAATCACATAATGTGTTATTCCCAGCACAGTGCTCTGCAACATACTCTTGAGGACATAGTACCTGCTTAATAAACATTGCATTAGTGCATGTGTAAAGGTTGTTTCCAAATGCAGACTTAACTGGACATTGCTGCCCTCTGTTTTCTCTATAAACTTTAAAGAGCCAGCAAAGAATGTGATGCTTTAGGATGGAGATTCTTTATTTGTACCAGAAGTATTTGTGTTGTTACAAGAGTGCTGAACATAAGGGGACTCTGTGATGCGCCTGCTTTCTCTACTAGTGCTAATAATGAGATCGGGGGAACGACATCAGCGTTTATAGAGGACTTGTTTAAAATACCCATTCACGGACTGTTTTCAAACCTGCAGAATCACATTACATAGAGTGGGGCTAAAATCAAGTGATTTATAAGCTCATCAATGCTTGAGAGATAATACTTAGCTAAGTGTTTAATCAGCTCAGGCTTCTAATTAAGATTACATGGCCAATTTACAGAATCTCTACTTGTGCCCTCCCCACAGGTTTTATTTATTGTTCTGGAAGGATCCATATTGCTTTAAGGGCCTCATGTGACTCTTAAGGTGAGACCAGAATCAAGTATGAGGGGTTCAAGATACATTCATGAATGATTTACCTTTGTACTAAAGGGTGGTCACAGGGCCTGTTCTGTTTGGGTTTGGTAGGGAAAGGGCAGAGTGGCCCATGTTTTCGTTACTTTAGCAAAAATTGCTAGTGTCTGTGGCAGGGGAGGGCACCTGAGGACAGGACAGGACAGGAGAAACTTACATCTTTATCTCCATAGAGCGGCTTATTTTTCCTGAATCTCTTCTGTTATAAAGGACAGAAATGGGTGGACTTTTTCTGCAGGTCTTGGTCCTTCTGCCTGCGGGTGCAGTGGTAGCAGGTAAACAGATGGTGCTGGCACCTTTAAAGGGATATTCTCAGGATGCAGGTGTAATATGTCCAGAGAATCTCATCTGAGAAAGAATCCCAGAGAAGGAGAAGAAAGAGGGAAAAATGACCGTTTTTCAGCTAAACATGTCTCAGATTCAGAGCTATGTTCAGCCTGCTTCCTGGAATGCCATGTGTTTAGTACTTACAAACCTTTACTTCTTTGTGTTTTTCCTCCCTAATGAGTTTGTTCTAACTACTTAAAAATGTTTTTATTATAGTCAGGTATCTGAAAAATACTTCTTTCTTGTATGCCAGAGCCTTCTCTACATCATGTCTTCTAATACACCATGTAGAATTCTCACCATGAATTTATGATCTGCAGTGTTAAAAATGTTCCCTTTGTGGCCATTGAACATGGGAAGATGAATATACTCAAGATTCCTATTGGGGAAAACCTGAGGTCCTTAGTGAAGAAGGAGGACAGGTAATACTGAGGTTTCATCTGTGTTCTCCATTAGCTCTATGCAGAACAGGATTAAGAAAATGTTTTTTGAAACAGGATGGCATTTATTACCCAGAAAGTTGTGAAGAAAATTATTAGGAGATAGGTGCTCTCTAGGATGCTAAAGAAAAACTATTTAAAATTACAGTTAAAAATGGCAGAACTTGGGAGATATATTGAACTTTGCATAAAACGGATGTTTCTTTATGGTTAAATTCAGGCTACAATTTACTTTTTTGGGAAGCAGCAGCCCAGCAGTGATGCTGTGTCCTCTGTGCATCAGCACGTTATAAAAATTTGTCCTAGTTTAGTTGATGTTAATGATTCACTTAGCTAAAGAGCTCCCTGACAGATTTTTTTCACTATAGAGTTAGTAATTTTTCTCTTGATTTTTAAGTATCTTTTTTTTCTTTTTCTAAGTTGGAGTTTTGCTCTTGTTGCCCAAGCTGGAGTGCAATGGCGTGATCTCAGCTCATTGCAACATTCGCCTCCTGGTTTCAAGCGATTCTTCGCCTCAGCCTCCCAAGTAGCTGTGCTTACAGGCACGTACTATCATAACTGGCTGATTTTTTGTATTTTTTGTAGAAACAGGGTTCACCATGTGAGCCAGGCTGGTCTCGAACTCCTCACCTCAGGTGATCCACCTGGCTAGGTCTCTGAAAGCCCTGGGATTACAGGTGTGAGCCACTACACACGGCCGATGATTAAGTATCTTTATGCAGCTGATGTGCATAAACTGTTACAGTTCATCTGGTAGCTGCCCTTCTTTATTAGGTTATCTTTGCATATAAGGGTCTTTGGAAAATGAGGGCTCTCATATTTGTTTACAGGCCAGAAAAACTGGGAAAACACACTCTTTCCACTTACTGAATGCTTGACAAAATATTCTTCTTGGGCAAAAAACATTGGCATTACTGGTGAGCTTCTTAGAAGTCAAGAAACTCAGACTTTATTCTACATCTTCTGAAAAGATAAATGCATAACAGGATCTCTGGTTTATTGTACACATTAAAGTTTGAGAGATACCTTCGAACATCATGTCTTTTCCATCTGAAATATATACACTCAAAAATGTATATTTGTGTTCATGCCCTTAATTTTATACTTTATCATCCAGAAAAGTATCATATATATACTGGTGTTGTGGATCTTCATTCTATTTTCTCAGAGTTAGAGAGTACATTAGAAAATCTTTCTTCGTGGAAATTATTTATTGGATAATTTCAGTCATTCCTGTGACTCAGAACTTGTTCTCATTACTCTCTCACCTTAAGTCAAATAAAAAATTCTGCCCATGGCCACTTAGTAAATATATGTGTGTCTGTGTATGTGTGTTTTTCAGGGACCACTGACATTTAGGGATGTGAAAATAGAATTCTCTCTGGAGGAGTGGCAATGCCTGGACACTGTGCAGCGGAATTTATATAGAGATGTGATGTTAGAGAACTACAGAAACCTGGTCTTCCTGGGTGAGGATAACTTCAATATGCAATTCCTAGCATGCCCTAAAGATTTCATTTCTTTTTGTAAAATGTTTTCTGGTAATTTGTGCTTTGCATAAATGAGTTTCAGATAACAGTTTTGAAGAAAACAAGGATTTGTTAGTGTAGAAAAGAACTTCTTCAAGATGTTTCATTTTGACCTGAACTTTCCACATTTCTAGGCTGATGTATATTCTTCACTCTAGATTAGTGCTAATTCCAGAAATTTATTGGCATAAAATAGTGTTGTCATCACCAAGTTTTTGATTCAGTAGTACTGGGCAGTATTAAATTAAAGATCTACAAATTTAAAATATTTTAAAAATATTTAGATATTTCCTTCATAAACTAGTATTTGGAATTAATTTACTAGTCTATTACATCCTCTTTACTGAGCACATTATTATGTTGGTAATTGGAGAATATAAGCAAGATTTATGTTATTGATTTTTAATAAAACAGGTATTGCTGTCTCTAAGCCAGACCTGATCACCTGGCTGGAGCAAGGAAAAGAGCCCTGGAATATGAAGAGTCATGCAATGGTAGCCAAACCCCCAGGTAGGTGAGATATAAGTACAACAGATGACAGGTCCAAAAGTTAAGGAGACGGCGTCTTTAAAATGTGATTTGCGAAACTGTTTCCAAAGGAAATACTTTCTGGGAAGCCTGGGAATTTTTTTAGTTTGCTCTCACATATGGTATCTGTCTAATGCTTTTATATTTTCTAAGGTGATCTTCCTTCAAGTTTACAGTGAGAACCAAAGTCCTTTTCATGGCAATAAGAGACTGTAATTTGACTGCTTTTTTATTGCTTTTGGGGACACACAAATACCTGCGTAATTTTGAGAAGCTCTATGTTAAACTTTTTTTTTGGTGATGGAGTCTTGCTCTGTCGCCCAGGCTGAGGCTGGAGTTCAGTGGCGTGATCTCAGCTCACTGCAACTTTCGCCTCCCGGGTTCAAGCAATTCTCCTGCCTCAGCCTCCCAAGTAGCTGGGACTATAGGTGTGTGCCACCACACCCAGATAATTTTTGTATTTTCAGTAGAGACGGGGTTTCACTGTGTTGGCCAGGATGGTCTAGATCTCTTGACCTTGTGATCCTCCCGCCTCAGCCTCCCAAAGTGCTGAGATTATAGGCGTGAGCTACCACCCCCAGCCCAGAAACATGTATTTTAATGCTATCATAAATAAAATTTAAAAAAAATCTTTTATATCAGGTAATTTGAGTATGCAGCCACAACTTATATATTGTGCTAATTTACTGAGTATTAATTTAGACAGGTTTAAATGTTTATGATTTTTCTCTGTATAAGGTTATGTGATCTATAAACAGCAACTTTCTACTTACCTGTCTTCAATTTCAATGGCTTTTACATTTTTTTTAAGTAATTCTTTTGTCATATACTTCCAGTGCTATGTTAAAAGCATTGACATTGACACAATATAGTTTGGCATTGGTGTCTATAAATTTGAAGGAACAAACATCTCTTTAAGTTTTTATAAACTGGTTTCAGAAGGTAAAATATCTTCTTTTGTTGGGTTCCCAGGGTGATGGGATGTCCTGTGAGTTTGTAGTAGAGATGGGTGTAGCTTGTTCACAAGGCTGCTGGGTCTGCACTAGAGTCCACCTTTAGTTGGGTTGTTACAAGGGGCTTGGGTATTTGTAATTTCCATTTTTTGACAGACTGAATATCCTCCAGGACTTTGCTCTATAGGGCAGACTCTAGAGCAGGTTTCTGTAGTCGAATCTGCATATGGTGGACCTTATATGTGGATAAGTATGGCTTTCACTAAGTACCAGAGAGGATTTCCCCAGGCCCCTCTGTAGGTTGCTCAGTAGATAGAACTGGCCGTAAACTGTGGCTTAGGGAGTTGGAACTGGGTCATTAAACTGCTTCAGGGACCACAGTAAAGGCCAAGGTCTGCAGGCCTCCTGCATGGCTACAAATGTGTGTCTTCCTCCAGACCTCTGGAAGGGCAGGACCTCTTCCAGATGGTGGCTGGGAGAAGTTTGGGATTGTTACACAGTAAGTTCAGAATTCTCAGTGGGACCAAATAGATTTTTTTTGTTTGTTTGTAGAAAGTGATTTATTTAGAGAGAGAAACAGGAGAAGGAGAGAGAAAGAAACAGCTAACTCTCACACTGAGTGAGAGAATCCAGAAAGATGGAATCCAGGAGAGGAAAGCAGCTTCCACACTGAGCGTAAGGGAGGGAATAGAGAGAGATGGAGTCTAGGAGGGGAAGACAGGCTTCCACGAGAGAGTGTGGAAGGGGACCCCAAAGGGGAAATCCAGGAGAGAGAAAAACAGTTCCACAAAGGGAGTGTTGTGGAAGGGGACCCAAACATGGAGTCCCTAGATTTTTAAAAAATCTATTATATCAGGTAGTTTAAGTGTATAGAGCCACAACTTATATATTGTGCTAATTTACTGCATATTAATTTAGACAGGTTTAAATGTTTATGATTTTCTCTGTATAAGATTATGTAATCTATAAACAGCAACTTTCTATTTACTGGATAGTAAAGGGTAGTGGGCCATTTTCTGGACGGTAGCCAAGAACAGGAGTCCTGTAGTTGCCACCTAAATGAGGGCCTACCTTCTGAAAAAAACACTCCTCAGTCTTGGGTTTAGCAGTTTCACAATTTCTCCCTGGATCTCAAAACTCTATTAAAATGCACTTATTTTTGAGATGGGGCTCTTGTTTCACAAACCATTTTGGTCTTGAAATACACCTTTTATTTTCCTGTCTTCCTGATGTCACTCTTCCTGTACATTTTTACTTTCTATTTTCTATTTTAAATTTGTCTGTAATTTTAGATTCAGACCTTTAGGACAATGTGCTAGAATTTACATGTTATGTCTGAAGTAAGTTAGATAATTAGTAGACACTCCGTAATTACTAAAATAGTTATTTATAAATTTAAATTTGCTGCAGGCAAAAAGAAATAGGATTTTCACCCACTTTCTTTAGCATATATCTAAATTATAACATAATGTATCCCCAAAATGCTTGTTTTTATATCAGAGACACTAACCATATTCTGTAAAATATAAATTTTTTCTCTATTTGGTAATATAAGGCTATTCTTTTCTAAAGTTGGATTGCAGCAGTTTCATCTTGTGTAAGAATCGCATATATTTAAAATATAAAAATTATCTCTTTTTGAAAATACTTATTAAAAGATTTTCATTAGAATCTTCTACTTATGATTAGACTGCATTTTCTGTGAAATTTTACTGCCATACAGTGCATGCCAATGATTCAAATACTTGTCTTCCATGAGTACACAGTTAGAGTCAAATATTGCAGTTATCTAGATGAATTCTTTTTATTTTATTGTTTTGTTTAAGACAGAGCCTCACTCTGTCACCAGGCTGGAGTGCAGTGACGCAATCTCGGCTCACTGCAAGCTCGGCCTCCTGGGTTCAAGCAATTCTCCTGCCTCAGCCTCCTGAGTAGCTGGGACTATAGGCGTGCACCACCATGCCCAGCTAATCTTTGTATTTTTAGTAGAGAAGGGGTTTCACCATGTTGGCCAGGATGATCTCAATCTCTTGACCTCATGATCTACCCGCCTTGGCCTCCCAAAGTGCTTTATAGGTATGAGCCACCGCACCTGGTGACAAATTCTTTTTAACGGTACATCATTATTGCAAACCAGATTTTATGAGTAAACATTTCTCTTATTGTTTTACAGTTCCATATTAGTATTTTGTTTTTGTCATTGTTGTTTTTAGTGTAGGTTTTTTATAAGTTTATTTTGTTTTTTGTTTTTACAATTTTAGCAATTTGTACTTCTGTTTGTGCACTTTAAGTGAATGTGGGGTTTAATTAAGAAATAAGTCAACTGTATGTCCATCACAGTCTGATTATATATGTGTGTTTTTATCTATAAGTATGACCTTAATTTTGGTTATGGCTTATCTTGTGTATATTCTTTCTTAGCTGATTTTCAATGGTTGTTTTATCTTGTCTAAGTGAGTAGTCATGGAAATAGTCTTCTTTCCATCATGCATTTAATGATAAATATTATATATTTCCTTTTTGTGAAACACTTTTGTAATTTGAAGGTAATTTTTGGAGAGATTCATAATTCTGTATTTTTTAGTTTTTCTATTTAAAAAATAATTGCAAAAACACATAACCTAAAATTTACCATCTTAAATCTATTTAAATTTACATTTTAGGTTAGGCATGGTGGTGGCTCACATGTGTAATCCTCAGATTTTGGCAGGCCAAGACAGGAGGATTGCTTGAGCCCAAATGGCCAGCTTGGGCAGCATATGTAGACCCATATCTACAGACTTTTTTTTTTTGAGACGAAGTCTCGCTCTGTCTCCAGGCTGGAGAGCGGTGGCAGAATCTCGGCTTACTGCAGTCTCTGCCTCCCAGGTTCAAGTGATTCCCCTGCCTCAGCCTCCTAAGTAGCTGGGACTACAGGTACGTGCCACCACACCCAGCTTATTTTTGTATTTTTAGTAGAGACGGGGTTTCACCATGTTGGCCAGGATGGTCTCTTATCTCTTGACCTCATGATCTGCCCGCCTCGGCCTCCCAGAGTGCTGTGTCTTGCTACCTGTATATTCTATAGAGACAGGACTTTGCCATGTTGCTGAGGCTGGTCTCAAACTCCTGGAATCAAATGATCAGCCCACGTTGACCTCCTAAAGTCCAGAGATTACATTTCTTTTTATTTAGTTTAATTAATTTATATTTAAAATAATTTTTTAAAGAAATGATATTACTATTACTAGTTTCATTGTTACTGTTTCTTGTGTTTTTTAGATATGTTTTTTCTCATTTGCTGCTTCACTGCTTAAAGTTTTATTCTAATCTCTTAGTGTCATGCTTTATTTTTTGTTTTGTATAGTTTCTATAAATATCTTTGTAATCATCTTGAAAATGAAGATTATATAAAACATCTTAAAACACTTTGCAGTTTGTTACTAATATTACAAATTATTTTATATTGTGTTTCTATTAACAGATTCATGCAGATTTATATTTTGTTTTTTGTGTTCTGTAGAAGAACTTTAAGGTTTGATGCCCCATCATTATGATAGTAAAGAATTCTAGGCTGGGCGCGGTGGCTTAAGCCTGTAATCCCAGCACTTTGGGAGGCTGAGGCGGGTGGATCACGAGGTCAAGAGATCGAGACCATTCTGGTCAACATGGTAAAACCTCGTCTCTACTAAAAATACAAAAAATTAGCTAGGCATGGTGGCGCGCGCCTGTAATCCCAGCTACTTAGGAGGCTGAGGCAGGAGGATTGCCTGAACCTAGGAGGTGGAGGTTGCGGTGAGCCAAGATCACGCCATTGCACTCCAGCCTGGTAACAAGAGTGAAACTCCGTCTCAAAAGAAAAAAAAAAAAAGAATTCTATGTGTGTCTCTATTTACATTTAATAGAGAGTTTTATATTTATATATGGTTTTATGGTACTGTCCAGCATTATTTTATTTTTCAACATAATGGACTCATTTTAGCATTTATTATTTTTTTATATGCAGCATCTCACGATGTTGCTCAGGCTGATCTCGAACTGGTTTCAAGTGATCTGACCGCTTTGGTCTCCTAAAGCTGTAGAACTACAGGCATGAGCCATGGTGCTTGGCCATCATGTAACATTTCTTTTAGAACTGTGCCAGGGATAATGAACACGCTTACCTTTTATTTTGGAAAGTGTTTTGTTTTTAAAGTAAAATAATTTCTAACCAAGTGTTACTGAGAGGGAATATTTTTTCTCATATTACATCAAAATTTGGAAAGTTCTCAGTCTTTTTTGTTCAAGTATCCGCTGTACTACTATTTTTCTGTGTTCTAAGATTTCTTCCATGAATATATTGATCTACTTGATGGTGTCCAGTAAGTTTTAAAATATTTATTATTTGTTGATGATTTACTTATTTTTTATAGAGATGAGGTCTTGCTATTTGGCCCAGGCTGGTCTCAAACTGGCCTCAAGTGATCCTCCCACCTCAGCCTCCCAAAGTTCTGGGATTGAGCCATTGGGTATGAGCCATTGTACCTGGGCCCCCAATAAGTTTTACATTCCATGTTTTAATTTTGTTTTGGATTTAACTATATCACACAGTTCCTTTCTGGTCTGCAAAATTTTTGTTGGGAAAATTTTTTGTTTTATTTTGCAGTTCTCAAGGTTCTCTTCTTGTCTAACCTCTGAAGTTTGTGCTTAAATATGTGTTTGCCATAAGTATCTTTTTGTGTATCCTATTTTGTTTGGCTTCTTCATTTTTATGATTTTTCAGTTATTGATTTTGTATTTTTTGCTTCCACAGCTTCTGGGGGGGGGTTGATATTTTGAATATTTCTGTTATCCTCATTTATCTGATTTTCAAAAATTATCTGTGCTTCTGTTTCACTCATTGAGTATTCAATTTATTTCAAATTTCTTTATAAATTTTTATTTTTTGTGGTTGCTTTCTAAAAATTTTATAATTTTTTTGATGGGGCCATGTTGCCCTAATATTTTATATACATTGTAATCTTTGAGATTTTGACTTAAAAAAAAAAAGCTGCCTGTTACAATCTTTACTATGTAGCTTTGTCCTGCATATAATCTTAAACCAATTGTCTTGGCTGGGGACTCTGGGAGTCTCTCAGACATGTTCTTAGGCTGCATCTTGTCTGAAATTTTGTGTTTACTTTTTAGTTAAATGAGTTTATTTGTGTTTTTTTTTAAGTCAGTAATCACTTGCTACACATGTTCCCTGTCTGGTACTGCATTCTCTCTGCTGCTGTAATGTTTACCTTTGGTCTCAACAGACTCAAACTGTCATTCCAAAGTATACTATTTCTTTTTTTTTTTTTTTTTGAGACGGAGTTTTGCTCTTGTTACCCAGGCTGGAGTGCAATGGCACAATCTCGACTTACTGCAACCTCCGCCTCCAGAGTTCAGGCAATTCTCCTGCCTCAGTCTCCCAAGTAGCTGGGACTACAGGCATGCACCACTGTGCCCAGCTAATTTTTTGTATTTTTAGTGAAGACGGGGTTTCACCATGTTGACCAGGATGGTCTCGATCTCTTGACCTCGTGATCCACCCGCCTCGGCCTCCCAACGTGCTGGGATTACAGGCGTGAGCCACTGCGCCCGGCCTCGTATACCACCATTTCTTTCAGCACTTTATGACATGGTAAACAGAAACCAGTGTCACACTGGAAAGGCTAGAAATAAAGATGCATGTGCCAGTATTTTTCTTGCCTTTTAAAATAGAAAGCAGGAGTTGGCAATTTACTTCTAAAGGCAATAGGTTTTATTGGAGAGCAGAAAGAGCTGTTTTGTGTAAACATAACACAGTTTTCTTCTTTGTGGCTTTACATTGTCCTCACCTGGGGCACTGCACACACTGAACTCACTTATAAATTTTCCACAAATGTATTTTGGTCAGTATGATTTTGTTACATTTATATGTCTGTGAAGGAATTAGGGCCTGTGGTATATTGCTCTGCCATCTTGCTTATGTAGTTTGTATACTTTTATGGGTTAAATTTGTCAAGTATATTCATCTGAGTCTGGTAAGTGAAGTAACTTATTTTTACTTTTTCCAGTTATTTGTTCTCATTTTGTCCAAGACCTTTGGCCAGAGAAGAGCATAAAAGATTCCTTCCAAAAAGGGATATTGAGAACATATGGAAAATATGGACATGAGAGTTTACAGCTAAGAAAAGACTGTAAAAGCGTGGATGCATGTAAGGTGTACAAAGGAGGTTATAACCAATGTATGATGACAACTGAGAGCAAAATATTTCAGTGTGATAAATTTGTGAAAGTCTTACATAAATTTTCCAATTTAAATAGAAGTAAGATAAGACATACTAGAAAGAAACATTTCAAATGTAAAAACCATGGCAAATCATTTTGCATGCTTTCACCACGAACTCAACATAAGAAAATTCATACTAGAGAGTATTCTTACAAATGTGAAGAATGTGGTAAGGCCTTTAACTGGTCCTCAACACTTACTAAACATAAGATAATTCATACTGGAGAAAAACCCTACAAATGTGAAGAATGTGGCAAAGCTTTTAACCGGTCCTCAAATCTTACTAAACATAAAATAATTCATACTGGAGAGAAACCCTACAAATGTGAAGAATGTGGCAAAGCTTTTAACCGGTCTTCAACTCTTACTAAACATAAAAGAATTCATACAGAAGAAAAACCCTACAAATGTGAAGAATGTGGCAAGGCCTTTAACCAGTTCTCGATTCTTACTAAACATAAGAGAATTCATATGGAAGATAAACCCTACAAATGTGAAGAATGTGGCAAAGCCTTTAGAGTATTCTCAATTCTTAAAAAACATAAGATAATTCATACTGGAGAAAAACCCTACAAATGTGAAGAATGTGGCAAAGCCTTTAACCAGTTCTCAAACCTTACTAAACATAAGATAATTCATACTGGAGAGAAGCCCTACAAATGTGATGAATGTGGCAAAGCCTTTAACCAGTCCTCAACCCTTACTAAACATAAAAGAATTCATACTGGAGAAAAACCCTATAAATGTGAAGAATGTGGCAAAGCTTTTAAACAATCCTCAACCCTAACTGAACATAAGATAATTCATACTGGAAAGAAACCCTACAAATGTGAAGAATGTGGCAGGGCCTTTAGCTGGTCCTCAGCTTTTACGAAACATAAGAGAAATCATATGGAAGATAAACCATACAAATGTGAAGAATGTGGCAAAGCCTTTAGTGTATTCTCAACTCTTACTAAACATAAAATAATCCATACTAGAGATAAACCCCACAAATGTAAAGAATGTGGCAAAGCCTTTAACCAGTCCTCAGTTTTTACTAAACATAAAATAATTCATACTGAAGGGAAATCCTACAAATGTGAAGGATGTAATTCTTTTAACCAGTCCTCAAACCTTAGTACACATAAAATAATTTACACAGGAGAGAAACCCTACAAATATGAACAATGTGACAAAGCCTTTAACAACTTCTCAACTCTTATTACACATCAGATAATTTATACTGGAGAGAAACCCTACAAACATGAAGAATGTGGTGGACCCTTTAACAAATCCTCAAATTATACTCAAGAGAAACTACAAACCTGAAAGATGTGACAGTGATTTTGACTACACCTCAAACTTTTCTAAATGTAAACCGTACTGATGAGAAACCCTAGAAATGTGGGAATGTGACAAAACCTTTAAATGGTTGTTACACTTGATTGTAGGTAAGATAATTTATATTGGAGAAAAATCCTACAAGTGTGAAGAATGTGGCAAACTTTTAACCAATGCTCACACCTTATTGCACAGGAAAGCACTTATACTTGAGAAAAACTATATAAATGTGGAAAAGCCATTTATATCTGCTCACATCTTATTCAGCATCATCAGAGAGTTCATACTCAATAAAATGTAATTACTTTCAAAAGATTCAGAAAATATAGGTCTTCAACATGAAGAAGAGTATTTTTTTTCTTTTTTGAGATGGAGTTTCGCTCTTGTTACCCAGGCTGGAATGCAATGGCGCGATCTCAGCTCACCGCACCCTCCGCCTCCTGGGTTGAGGCATTTCTCCTGCCACAGCCTCCTGAGTAGCTGGGATTACAGGTACACACCACCATGCCCAGCTAATTTTTTGCATTTTTAGTAGAGACGGGGTATCACCATGTTGACCAGGGTGGTCTCGATCTCTTGACCTCGTGGTCCACCCGCCTCGGCCTCCCAAAGTGCTGGGATTACAGGCCTGAGCCACTGCGTCCGGCGAAGAAGAGTATTCTTAAGAAAAACATTACGACTGTAGAAGGTTGTAGTAGTTTCACTTTTATGATAGATCTTATTGTACACATTTTGTACTAGAAGAAAACCCTAAAGCAGTTGCTCAAACTTTGTTCAGCATCAGGGAATTTTTATTGGAGAAAAACCCTGCAAATGTAATAAATATGAAAAAACGTTTTTGTTTTTGTTTTCCCCCAAAAACAGCTTGGAAAACAGAGTTCATACTAAAATATATTTTTGCAGATGCAGTAAATATGATAAATGTTTAATCTAAAATTAAGTCTATGTAAATAGCAGAGAATTCATCATAGAAATCATAAGGCAAACGGCATTGACACTTCAGATATTACACTAGAGTGTTGAGTAGGAAATAATCCACAAGTAAAATTGTTAGGTAAGTTATTTATGTGTAACTTTAAAAGACAAAGATTGTTTGGAGATTTATAATTACTTTCAAAGTATCCTTTTTCTTGAAGAAAATTACAGATTTTTTGAAATGCAATTATGTAATTTAACTCAAATTTATGTTTTTCTTCATTCCTGTTGTATTCTCATGTGAAAGCAGTGATCAGTTGTTGCTGCATCAGAGATAAGAGATTCTGTTTTCTAAGTGGGCATTATTTATGACCCTTTCTATGGAAGAGTGAGAAAATGATAAGACACATGAGGAGAATCTAAGTAGAGATGCTCTTTGTGGTTAACGTAGAATCTTAAGTGCTGCTTGAGGTAGATGTTCAGCCTAATATTCTTTTGCATTATAGTGAGAAAAATTTTAAATTTTAAATCAAAATTAGTAATGTGTCATTTTGTTGATTGTGCTTTTATGTAACAAAATGCAGTACTTTAAAAATTTAGATTATGTGTGAACTTAATTTTTTAATTAACATTATTTTTAACATGTTAAGACTCGTGTCTTAATTCAATTAAATGTTGTTATGCCACTAACTTGAACCTATTCCACCTTACTCAAGGGTGTGGGGTGAAAAATGGTAACAACATATTATATGGTAACATAGTGGACTTACAGCTCTAATAATCTTTTCCAGTGGCTTAAACTGCAAATACATTAAAGAATATTGTTCCCATAGGTTAAATTATCTTTTTAAAATTTAAATTTATTTTTTAAGTGTTTGTCAGTACATTGTATATATATTTATGCCATAATTTGATGCAAGCATACAATGTGTAATAATCATATCAGGGTAAATGAGGTACCACCTCTAGCATTTATTCTTGATATTACAGACAATCCAGTTCTGTGTACACTTTTAGTTGTTTTGAAATGTACAATTGTTACTACAGGGTCATTTTTACGATCACAATAAAATTGTATAGAAGTACAAATAAAATCTATATTTCTGAGTCCTAAATTTTATTTTTAAAATTTTGTCATAAATTTTTCTTTGAACATATGATCTCTCTTCCGGCAAACACATACTTTTGGTTTTGATGTACATAAAGATATACATATGTTGCTCTACAAATAAAAGGTGTGAGGAAATTATGTTTGTCTATGAATTTGTATTTTCAGAAGAATAATGAGAACAAAAAATAATTTTAATAAGGTGACTAACTAGAAAACTGAAAACCTCAATATGTGTAAAGCAGATCTACACTCTGCTTTGTATTTAATTCATGACTATAAGATCCTAGGGCTTATGCTTCAGACTCTCCTTTGGTAATTTCTGTTTTGCTTGCCTGGTATTCATGCTAGATCCATAATTTTTTTTTGTTTCCTATAACTATTTTGTTTTATAGTTTTTGAAGTATTCATTATGTGAGCTCATCAAAGATTATAATAGTTTATAAAATTTAGTAGTGCACACAATTTTTAGATGTAATTCACCATTAGTGTTTTAATTTGTATTTTTAGTTGGAAATTTATTTTGCTTGGAGAATCCTATATAAGACTACTTTAATTATTGTTGCTTTCAGTTTTTTTAATTGACATAGTATTTTTATTGCAGTTTGTTCAAGTATATACTAGGGGAGGCTTCGTAAGTCAGGATGATTTTTTAAATATATAAATGCAGCAAGCAAACATGACAGTGCTTGTTGTATAACAGGTGCTTAATGATAATCTGTAAGTATTCCTCCTGGAGTTTGTAACTTCAAGTCAAAGAAAATATCAATGGTGAAGAAATAATATTGACTCTTCATGTGGAGAGGACATTTTTCCAGCATACAAAGCTGACTCTTGCTGAATTTAAAGAGAGATTTTGCTTTTTCTTTCTAATTATCTTCAGTTTTGCCTTTTTATGTGTATTTCGACTATGTTTGCATCACAGCTCTTCTGTTTTGTATATCTTCATGTAAAAATAAAAGCAAAAAATTATGATTATCACAATAAATGCAGAAAAGTCATTCAAGAAAATTCAATGTTCATAAAAATATTCTCAACAAGGCATTGAAGAAACATGTCAAAATAATAGGAACAATCTGACAAATTCTGAACATACTGAACAGGCAAAAGCTAAATGAATTCTCCATAATAGTACAGGAGTTATTAAGAAATTGTGTTTAAGAAATTATGTACCTGGAAGCCAGTTACATTCAATATGGCGTCTCCTACCCTCTTCCTTCCAGTCATCACGTGCTCGGGTCACGGCAGTCTTCAGGTGAAACCATGTGTACAAGTATGGCTGCTGCAGAGTGGGGACCTTATTTGCATAATAAAGACTAAGGTGGCTGTGTAAATTACACATCTGGTCAAACCAATCCCTTGGGTCCTATGCAAATTAATCACAGCCCCCTCAAGCCTCTGTACAAAATTGATTGCATTCCTACATGAAGTGAGAACCTCTTAGATGACCTGCATTCCCAGTGTGAGGAAGCCTTCTCTTGCTCCTTTTTTTTTTTGTCTAAACTTTTTGCTCCTAAACCCACTCCTTGTGTGTGTGTCCATGTCCTGATTCTTTCTCGACCATGCCAAAGAACCAGAGTATATATCCCAGACAAGCCATTTCAATAAATGACATGAATATCCATTTTAAACACTTCTATTTCACATAGTTCTGCAAGTCCTAGCCAGAGCAGTGTAACAGGATAGATAAAAGACATCCAAATAGAACAAGAGGAAGTCAGATTATCTTCAGTGATTATATAATTTGCCTAAGAAATTTTAAAGATTTCACCAAAACACGGAGCCTAAAAAATAAGTAAAGCCTGAATACAAAATCAACATGCACAAATGATAGTATTTCTATACACCAATAACATCCAAGCTGAGAGCAAAATCAGGAACAGTTCTATTTACAATAGCCACAAAGAAACAATAATATGCCTAGGAATATATTAAATCAAGGAGGTAAAAATATCTCTACAAGAACTACAAAGCACTGCTGAAGAAGTCAGACAACACGAATAAATTGAAAAGTATTTCATGCTCATTAATCAATTAAAATGTTCATGCTGCCCAAAGCAACCTACAGATTGTGTGTTATTTCTAGGAAATTATCAATGCTTTTTTTTTTTTGAGATGGACTCCTGCCCTGTCACCCAGATTTGAGTGAAGTGGTGTGATCTTGGCCTGCTCACTGCAACCTCTGCCTTTCAGTTTCAAGCAACTCTTCTGTCTCAGCCTTTAGAGTAGCTGGGTGTGTAGGCACACACCATTACACCTGGCTAAATTTTTGTATTTATAGTACAGATGGGGTTTCACCATGTTGGTTAGGGCCTGGTCTTGAACTCCTGATCTTAAGTGATCTGCCCATCTCAGCCTCCAAAAGCACTGGGATTACATGTGTGTCCCACTGTGCTCAGGCTTTAATGCTATTTTTATGGATTTACAAGAAGTAAACTATTCTAAAATTCAATATGGAAGAATAAAAGAGCTCAAATAGCCACAGCAAGCTTAAACAAAAACAGTGATCCTGGAGGCTTTACATTACCTGACTTCAAACTGCACTGCAAGCTACAGTAACCAATATAGCATGGTTCTGGTGCAAAAATATGCATATAGACCAATAAAATAGAGGAGAGAGCTTGGGAAAAAAGCTACACTTATACAGTCAACTTATTTGTGATAAAGTCAACAGAAATAAGCCAAGGGGCCAGTCGCTGTGGCTCATACCTGTAATCCCAGCACTTTAGGAGGCTGAGGCGGGTGGATCATCTGAAGTTAAGAGTTCGAGACCAGTCTGGCCAACACGATGAAACCCCGTCTCTACTAAAAACACAAAAATATTAGCTAAGTGCCAAAAAAAAAAAAAAAAAATCTAATTGGCCAGAGGAACTTGGGAAGATGGGAATTTCTCCCAGGATAAATCCCCCTGTTCCACCCACAGCGAATTTCCGGCTCTCTGGAATCCCCTCCCACATGGTGGGAGCTCCCTTTCCCCTTTGGGATTTCCCCTCTGGAATCCCCTTCTACACTATTTGTGAAGTTTTTCTCTTCTCTTTTTTTTTCTCTTGTCTCTACCTAAATAAAAGAACCTTTCTGCAAAAAAAAAAAAAAAAAGCTAGCCTAAGTGCCAGGTTAGCTACAGTAAAATAGAAGAGCAGGTAAATATCAAAGATTCTATACTTCAATCTCTGGCTCCCAGATAGTATCTATGGACCCACTCATAGCTAGGGGGACTTGCCATCCTGGAGGTAGAGACACAAACCAGGCTGGCTTTGCCACCTATTAATCATAGAGCCCTAGGGCTTTGAGTGAATTTATATGTTAGCGAGGTAGTGGTTACAGTGGGCCTTGGATGAGACCAAGTTCTGTGCCTACTTCAGGTGTGAACCAGTACAGTCCCAGAGGTGGTGGCCACAGGGTGCTTATTTTACCTTAACCCAAGCTCCATGTGCCTCAGCACAGAAAGAGAGACTCTGCTGGTTTGAGAGAAGGGAAGATGAGTCTCTACTTGATAAATCAAGATAATTTTTCTTGATTTTAATCCAAGACCACCAAGGCAACACCTCTTTTTGCTTGCCTAAGCTACTATAATTGGGTTTGGGGCCCAAGTGTCTTTGAATGCTTGGAACTTTTCCCAAAAATAGTGAGCACAAACAAGTCCAGACTGTGAAGACTACAATAAAGACTGAACTGTTCAATGCCCAGATCCAGATGAACATCTACAAGTACCAAGATTATCCAGGAAAACAGGACCTCACCAAACAAGCTTAAGAAGGCACCAGGGACACATCCTGGAATAAAAGATATGTGACCTTTCATACAGGAAATTGAAAATAGTGGCTTGAGGTAATTCAAAGAAAGGCAATCTAACACAGAGAAGAAATTCAAAATTCTATCAGATAAATTTAACAATAAGATTGAAATAAAAAGAATAACAGAAATTCTGACGTAATGCAATTGGCATATTGAAGAATGCATCAGAGTTACTTAAAAGAATTGATCAAGGAGAAGATAGATTTAGTGAACTTGAAGTCAGACTATTTGAAAATACAAAGTCAGAGGAGACAAAAAAATGGAAAAGTATGCCTACAGAATCTGAAAAATAACCTCAAAATAGCAAATCTAAGAGTTATTGGCCTTAAAAAGGAGGTAGAGAGATGAGTTAAACATTTAAATAAATAATATTAAACAATTCTGCAACATTTGATATCAACATTTGAGTACAAGAAGGTTACAAAACACCAAGCAGATTTAACCCAAAGTAGACCACCTCAAGGCATTTAACGAAACTCCTAAAGGTTAAGGATAAAGAAATGATTCTAAAAGCAGTGAGAGAAGAGAAACAAATAACATTCAGTGAAACTTCAATACATGTGAGAGCAAATTTTTCAGTGGAAAATGTACAAGCTGAGAGAGTGGCATGACATATTTAAAGAGCTGAAGGGGGAGAAAAAGACTTCTACTGTAGAATAATGTATCTGGCAAAAATGTCCTTTAAACTTGAAGGAGAAATAACTTTTCCAGACAAAAACTGAGGAATCTCATTAACACCAGACCTATCTTATAAGAAATGCTAAAGGGAGTTCTTATCTGAAAGAAAAAAAAATGTTAGTGAGCAATAAAAAAATCATCTGGAGGTACAAAACTCACATAATAGCACACAGAAAAATGGAATATTACAACATGGTAATTATGGTGTGTAAAAATGTCAAATAGAGTAAACAATAAGCCAATAAAAATCTTTCCAAGACATAGTAAAATAGGGAATAAAGAGAAACAACAAAACGTTTAAAAGAACAAACTGTTTAAAAAAAGTCAATGAAGTTAAGGTGTAGAGTTATTATTAATTGTTTTCCTGTTTCTTTGTTTATGCAATCAGTGTTAAATTATCCAGAGTTTAAAATGTTATATTATTTTCAAGCTTCACAATAATTTAAAATCAAAAAGCATACCACAGATGTACAAAAAAATAGCAAGAAATTACATTACAAGAGAAATCACCTTCACTAAAAGGAAGACAGGCAGAAAGGAAAGAAGGAAGAGGACAAAAATCAGTCAGAAAACAAATGACAAAATGCAGGAGTAAGTGCTTACTTCTCCATAATAAAATTGAATGTAAATGAACTAAATACTCCAGTCAAAAGATAAATAGTGGATAA